TGGCAGATGCCAATATACAAATCTGTGTCTAATCTGTTTATTGAAATGTTTAAACATATTGTTTTCGTAAGTATATCCACCAGACCCTGGCTCGCCAGCACCCCTCAGGATGGGCATGGCAAAGTCTCAGCCCTAAGCTCCCCATTCTGAGCGGTGGAGCCTTCTTGTAAAGCAAGGAGAAGTGAGCAGAAGCTTCATAGAGAGAAACTTTGGAGGAGGAAGAGGGGACAGGTAGCTTTCTTGTTATAATTGAAATGTCAGACTTTTCCTTGGTGATGTAAAAAAAAAATTAATCTACAAAAACAGTAGGTGCTAGCAACCAACTCCGTTCAGGTGCTGGGAACAATTTCGGTTTTACACTGCATGATTGAAAGTCCGAGAGCTGGGAACTCAGGAGCTCACCACAGCTTCTTGAATTGGGACACAAGATGCCAGTCCTTTCTCGGCCTTTCCTGCTGTCACGGGCCACGTGTGTGCCAGGCGGTGATGCTGGTGCACAGCCCGAGGGGTGGTTTGGGCAGAAGGCAATTTCCTCGGGAGAAGGCTGGTGGCTGGACCCAGAGAGGCCATGGTCCTTTCCCCCAATGCACAATGACAGCCTGGTGGAAGCACTCTGGCTCGACAGCGCCGCCTGGGTCAGCATGACAGGAATGGTTCCAGAAGGGTCCAGGGGACATGCGTTTCCAAACAGCCCTGGCCCCATGGGAGAAGGGACGAGGCAGCAGGTCAAGGGAGGTAGGGAGCAGCTGGGGGAAACTGGCTGGCCAGTCCGAAGGACATGGTCTTGGCACAGACGTGGCTGCTCTGTGCCCACTGAGCCACTGGTGACGGCCACACGGCCCCTCCGTCTTTCTTCCTCCCCTCTCAGCGGTCCCCAGAGGGCTTTGGCTGGGGAAACCAACCCAGACACAGACGACTTCGTTGCTCAATGCAGCGGAATATTCAGCTCTGCAATGCCTGGCATTTCCCTGGGGCTGGTATGCAAGCCCCCCGGGAGGCCTCGGCGTGTTTATTTTCCTTCGTTCACTTTTTACCTTCTTTTTTTAAGAGGAACTGTGTGCTCTTGTTTTTCTTCTAATCAACTTTGAAAGCAATTTAGATCTATGGAGAGATTGCGAAATTAGCGCCAGAGTCTCCTCGGTCACTTTTACCTGGTGACACTCAACGTGACTTTGACCACGCTTGGGAGAAACATAGAGAATATTCCTCTAAGCCAAAACCTAGACTTTGGTGTGTCTTTTGCCGGCTGTCCTCAGCTGTCCCTGGATGTTCCCAGATGTCCCCAGCTGTCCCCTTCTCTTCTCCAGCCAAGCTAGAATTACTGGAATTTTTTGATATAACTTTGTAGACGAAGTATAATATTCAGGAAGCAACTAATACATATAAAAACATGACTATCCTATCAACTAGTATGGTAGCATGAGGTGGATTAAATCATAAAGCGTGTCAATTTGAAAAAAAAACATGTCATAGATGTGCGTAAAGATGGCATGCAGGACTGAGTGGTGTCACAGACCCACAGGGCAGTCAGGGCCTGCTAATGCCACCTGATGGCTGAGCAGCCCAGTCCTGGTGGGACAGGATGGGGATTCAGAGCCACACACTCATCTGCGTTTCATGAGCACTTTTTTCCTGGTTTGGGAGCTGCAGAAGGAAGGAAAGAAGGAAGGAAGGAAGGAGGCGGAGAGAAGAGAAACTCTTCGTAGGAATAAAGTTTTCATTTCAATTATTCTGCTGATCCTTGACCCCCACTCCCAGGGATAATCAGAAGCTGGCTGGCTGCATCCTGTTTTAAATAAAATCACCGTTTAAGTGGCTCCGAGGACGTGCAGATAGATAATTGCACGGGGGCGCGTGTCCAATAACACATCAGGGGGAGGCGTTTTGCTGTGTGCCAGAAACCAGCGCAACAGCCACCCACGCTGTCACACCTGTGGCGTGCTCCTCTCTGAAGGCCCCAGAGAGCGCAGCCGCACCTCTCAGCACGCAAGGACTGTAACTTCCCATCATTAGGCAACGGGGGCGGGGAGGGGGCTGGGGGGGCTCTGAGGAGACCAGCTTACAGTGAAGCCAGAGAGCTGGTGCTCCCGGGGCGGGGAGGGGGCGGGGAGGGGGCTGGGGGGGCTCTGAGGAGACCAGCTTACAGTGAAGCCAGAGAGCTGGTGCTCCCGAGGCGGGCATTGCCACCCCACAGCAAGGGCCTGCGTTCCCTGTGTCCCCCCACATTTCTGGTGGGATCCCCACCGCCTCTGACGGTAGAGTGTGGGGTTTTCAGTCCTCAAGGCAGTCCCAACAGCATGTTCGAGCGTCTCCCCCTGCCAGGGCAGTGAGGCCAGGGCTTGGGCCTCTGGCTGTTGTGAGGGTCTGCTTTGTGTGTGGCAGCGCACCAGGGACCCCACAGCTGAAGGTGTGGTGGTGGGTGTGATGGGTGTGTGTGGGATGGACCACACCCATTGCAGATGGCGCAGGTGGCGGGTGACACAGATCTGGAGACACAAGCTGGGTGTCCACCTTGGGAACGGCTCCAGGAAAGAGAGATGACCACTTCCCCTGACTGGACCTAGAGTCCTTTTGTTCTTCAAAAATTGAGTTCCACGGAATCTCCAAGAGTATTGAAATAAATGGGAACATTTGGTCATTACGTTCATTTTATTTAGCACATACGTTTGGGGCCATGGACTCAGTCACGAAGGCTGGCAACAAGATGCAGTGACCACACCTGAGCCCAGGAGGAGCCCAGTGAGAGGACATGCGTCTTCCAGCCACCCTTGATTTGACTCCTGAAGGCTCCCAGAAGGGCTGTTCGGGCTCTGTATTCCGAGACTGTATGGGGCGGGTCACTGGCCTGACCCTCTGCACACAGTCCCCGCAAGACAGGAGGCCATGCTGAGTGCATACCCCACATGCTGGACTGAGGAAGGTCCTGGGGACAGAACTCCAGGTCCCCTCCCCCGCAAAAAACAAGGGGAGCATTCTGCTCCTCCTAACCACAGCTTCCCACAGGCTGTAGGTCTAATGGTGGAGCCCACTCTGGCTTTCCCTGTGGGAACATGGGTTTTCCCACCTGGAAATCTTGAACAAACAGTGTGTGGCCCCTTCTGTTAGCTGCATGAGATAGTTTCCTCTTAAAGGATGATCTGCGTTGGTTGTAAGTTGCCAGTGTGTGGCTCTAGTCCAGAGAGTGACTTATGTCTTTTGTTTGTTTCCTTGGGATGAAAGGCTGAGAAAGCACATTATTGCTTTGAACATTATTATTACTATTATTATTACTATGACTATCATTTTAGTAGCTATTATTAAATGTTCAACTCATTGGTCATCTGTTTTATGCTGCAGAGAACCAAAGTCTCTCGTGGTGCTTAGAAAAATTAGTGATAAAGTGATTTATGTGCTTAACCTTGAGTGGAATTCATGGATCATACCACACACCCTCTCACAGGGTTCAGTGGGTATAGGGTATTTGTGGAGTTGGGCAACCATCGCTACAATCCACCCTCAAAATTCTCAACATCCCCAAAGAAGTCCAGTGTGCCTGGTGAGCGATTCTTCTTCTCCCAGCTCTTGATACCTGCAGGTATCTTTCTGTCATCATGGATTTGCCTTCTGTGGACATTACGTGGACATGTCTTCAAGGTTCACCCGTCGTATTCCAGTGGTTAGCTGTCACTCACTTTCATTGCCTTCTGATAATCCATTCCCTAGGAAGGCTACATTTGTTTTCTTCGTTTTTCAGTTGATAGTTTGAATGGTCTTTAATCCAAAGGGTTTTGTTTGCTTATTATTTTTTTAACCGAGTAGTATTGTATGGAAGACCCTCTCATTCATTGATTCTAATAAGGTACTTTCTGACTGTAACTTAGCGGTCTTTTAAGGATCAAGAGTCAGAGTCTTTCCTGAGGTATACTGAGTAAAGTTGGGGTGGGGATGGGGCAACTGACTTGGGCCTTTGGGGGCCAGTGGGCATGTCAGAGGTTTAGCAGACCCAGTCATCGTTTTCTGCTCTAGTCTCTATTCTTCATGACTCTCTGCTCCTGAGCTTTGGGATCTCTTCCCCACCCCTAAGAGAAAGTTTTCCTTCTTCAGCTTAGGTTCTGGGTGCCTCCTGAGCTGGTGTCAGTCCGTCCTTACAGGTCCTTCAGGGGTAAGAGAACACTCATGAACCTTCTAGGACATTTTTGGAGCTCCTCAGCATGTCTCTTGCCGCCTCCCCTGCTATGAAACTTTTACACATCCTGCAATGCCCAGCTCTGCTGCCGTCTCTTCAGAAAGACTTTCCTAAGCACAATGGCTGACATGAGGCTGCTTCATTTCAATCAGCTCTGTGTCATGGCTATCCTGTTCTGAACGGCAAGGGGAATGCAGATTCTGGGCCTTCCTGAGCCTTCAAGGTCACAGAGGAAGTTCTGCAAGCACTTGTGTCAACCTCATCTCCAGGAAGGCATACACCTGGTGTCTCATTCTTACTCATTGGTACGGAACAGCCCCACATTTAATGCAATATTTTTACACACAGACTTTCTGGGCAGCTGCCTCTGGTGTAGGAAGATTTGGTAGATCAATAGACACAACTACTAAAGTTCTGGGCTGCGGTTGTCCTTTTCTTTGGGTCTTTGTTTTTGTCTCTTCCTGTTTTCTGAGGGTTGGTTCTATCATATTAACGCATAGAGAAGAATTTACTTCCTTTTTCTGAGCCAGACCAAGCTTCTCTCAGCCCAAGTCTCTCCAGGTTGCTCAAAATGATACTTTTCTCAGTTAAGCATGGAGCTTTCTCACAGATCAAGCCCTGAGGGGCCCTCCACTTTTATTTTATTTTCTAAATGGGCACAGGGCATCTCTCCTGTGCTCTGAGATGCCACCTGCAGAACAGGACTTGCTAGAGGACACCAGAGATGCTTCTCAGCAGAGAGAAGCAAGGGCTTGCGGAGTATGTATGTGGCAGGGAGGGGGTGGAGTCTCGGGCCTGGTGCTCTCTGCTGGGGCTTGCACAGAGGTCCTGTCTGGATCTGTGGAGTTACCTCAGGATCGTGCCAGAGTACCAGGGTTTGAAGCAGAGGGAGGAAAACACCCACTCTTCATAAAGGTATGTAAACACCCCATGACACTGCAATTAGAAGATGCGAGCATTTGTTTTCATCATCCAACTCTTGCCCTGTGCTCTGAATATTTGTCTTCAAGCATAAAGTTACAAAGAAAATGCTCCATAAAACTGGGCCTGACCCAGTTTAGAAATTCTCTCCACCATGATAGCATTTGTCAAAATATTTGCTACAACTTGTAATGGCTGTCAGAAACCAGGCCCACAAGCCACCTTCTGCTAAACATAAAAACATTAATAGGGAAATTTATTGCTGTATAAACCGTTTTATTCCCCAATAATGGGCTCAATTAAAGCAAAGACATGCGTTGTTTATATATATGTATATATATATATATATATATATATATATATGCCCAAGAGTTTTCAATATGCACACACACAGTATAATCTAAGGATCAAAGTATTTGATAGAGATACTATTTATAACCGTTCTGATCACCGCCCTCCTCGCCCCCATGCATTCCTCAGTGAGATTTACCGGGGTCAATGGAATGGAACATATATTTATGCATGTATTTGCCTTCCCTGTCTCCAAAATAATTAAGAGGGGATCTCAGATAAGCAAGGAAGGCAGGTTCAGAGAGGTAAGGAGCTACTCCTTTCCCTTCGCAAATCTTTTTGTGGGCGTGAAAGCAGAGATGTTTATCTGCCAAAGTGCATGGAGGGACAGGAGGCAACTCAGAACAGCGATGGGCTCAGTTGCTGGGGGAAAAGCAGAATCCGTGTCAGGTCACTTTGAAATAATGTGCCTTTTAGCCCCCCTTTCTATTGCATGGCTAGCACGCACACTGGAGATCAGAGGGTGAGGCTAATCAGAGCAAACCCTTGGGCTGGGTGGCGGTTTCAGGGTCTGTGAAGTGACTCTTGAAGAGCAGGGAACGCAGGGTTGTTTCCTTAGTGGCTGTCGGCTGGGAATCAGGGGGGAAAAGGGCCGTCACAGAGAATGGGTGTCATGTGGGCAGGGTGACCCCAAAGGTCCTGAGTGGGCTCCGCACAGCTGCCTACGGAAATGAGCTCACAGCAAGGGGCCAAGGGTTACCAGCCAGAGAGACGTTCTCCTGGCAGCCACCATAAACATCAGGCACACAGAGAACCAGACTGGAAAGGGGGCGGGGCAGCTGCTGTCACCTCCCCCATCCCATCCCATCAGCCCAACAAAGGACGCCCAGCCTAGCCATGAAGGAAGCAAAACACAGCCGCAGAGGTGGAGTGCAGGGCTCAAGGTCACAGGGTTTGTAGGTGACAGACGTGCAGAGGAAGGTCTTGCCTGGGACCTGGTAGCTGGCTCCTCCTGCGTCCTGTGGGGGTGGTCTACAGAGGGGCTGGGCCATGCTGGAGGGGAGCTGGGAGCGAGGCTCAGGAAGAGTTCTTGTTCCCAACCACGGCAGGCCATCGGCACGGCCGTCACAGGCCGCCCATCGCTTCGGTGGTCATTTCTTTGTGAGCTCTCGGACTTCAGGGCAGGCGGGTAACAATGGTGGCCACATACATGCCCTTCTCATAGGACGGAAGGGGGATGCCTGGGAAAGACAGTGCATTGCTATCAAGAAACTTCATGGAGGAAAAGTGGCCTGTGACCAGCCCGGGTTTCTGCAGGAGCCTCTGTGAGGCTCACCTCAGGACAGTAGCTGTGCGCCTGATAATATGGACTTTGCACAGTCGCATGTCAATGCGAGACGTAACACAGAGAACACCCACAATCCCCAGCTAGCCGCAATACCACACTGGGTGTTGACACTGACTATTTCAATCACGGCCAAGGCCTCTCTGTCCACACTCACTACATTTTGCTCTCCTCTGCCAGCCCTTCCTTCCAACCAATGGCAGCCACCAATCTATTCTCCAGTTCTAGGATTTGTCAATTTATCAGTTTCTTTTAGAGGATTGACCTAGTTTGTTCAGCACAGTTCCCTAGAGATTCATCCAAATTATTATTTTGTGTGTGTATTTGTTCCTTATTTATCTATTTATTTATTTATTGTCAGTCATGGGGTTTGAACTCTGGGCCTGGGTGCTGTCCCTCAGCTCTTCAGCTCAAGGCAAGTGCTCTACCACTTGAGCCACAATGATACTTCCTGTTTTCTGGTGGTTTATTGGAGATAAGAGTCTCTTGGACTTTCCTGCCTGGGCTGGCTTTGAACCGTGATCCTCAGATCTCAGCCGCCTGAGTAGTTAATATTACAGGTATGAGTGCCTGGCTAGTTTGTTCCTTTTGATTGCTGAGTACTATTCCACATTATGGTTAAATCACAGATGGTTTAAGCGGTTATTTTCTGAAGGATATTTGGGCTGATTTCTGGTTTGGGCCATTACCAATGAAGCTGCTACAAACATTTGTGTACCAGTATGCATGAGGATGTGTTTTCATTTGTGTGGATAATCTCCCAGACATATCATGGGTGGGTTAAATGGGAATTGCACACTTAATGTATTAAAGAATCTGACACACCTTTCTTTGCCATCTCATCCTCTGTGCATCTAGCATTTTTACATACTTGCCAGCACAGAGTGTTTTAGTTTTTGTTGTTTTTCAGGATATGATAGGTCCTTGTAGTTCCAAGTTGCAGTTCCTATGTGATATTAATGCATGTGTGCCTATACACACACCATATGTACATATGTGTGTAGATGAATACATACACACATGTGTATATTCACATGATGTATTTATCCATCAGGGATGTCATTTTCAGGGAAATAGACCTGGTTACAAAAATGAGGTTAAGTGAAGTAAGTCAGCCTCAGAGAGACAAAAAGGTAATGTTTTCTCTCATACCTGGAAGTTAGACCTAAATTACAGACATATATAAGAACACAGACAGGGCCATATGTACAACATGTACACAAACAAATATGCTGAGGAGGAGTCCAATAGTGTAACCCTAATGAACAACAAACTTATGGTTTAACAAAATGAATAACAGGAGACTGGAACATGTGTTGTCAGTGTCTAGGTTGGGGTGCGGGATGGGTTGGGGGTGCCAAGGAGGAGTGGCAGACCAATGGGGACAGGAGGGATAGGTGGATCCAGTCATAAAATGTCAGGTGCATAAAAGAAAACGGAGCCGGGTAACTGGACAGGATGGGTGGGGTTAGCAGAGCCGAAGGAGCCGGAGGGAAGGCTGCCACAGATTAAGATGCAGTGTGCCAACACTGACTTGTGGGATTGAAACTTGAAGATAATAAAAAAATTTTACATCTCCTCCTTGGCTAAAGTTGTCACATGCCTTTTGTGAACTGTTTTCATATCAGTATATCTTCCTTGGTGACACACTTCTTACGTCTTTGCTCATTTCCTAATTGGATTTCTGTTGGATTTTTGTTTACTGTTCATTCGTCATAGCTCTTTATACATTCTAGATGAGTCCTTCAGCAGATACGTTGTTTGCAATGATTTTCCTCAGGTCAGGAGCTAACATTTCCATTCTTTTATTATAAGCAAGGGTTTTATAAACCAAGATAATTAAATTTTGGTGAGGTCCCATTATCAGTGTTTTTTGTTTTCTTGTATGGCTCATGCTATTTATATCAACTCTTTCTCATACCCTCAATTTGGGACTATCTCCTGTGATTTTATTTTCCCCTGAAGCTTTATAGTTTTACATTTCCTGTTTAAGCCTCTCTTACATGTTGAGTTTGTTTTCGTGTAAGAACACTGTGAGCTTTAAGTGGATGTTTCTGGTTTGTGCTGGCCCCTGGGCATCTATTGTCTCCACGCCAGTTGATGGACAGCTGAACACTTTCTCTAGGGTTTTAGAGGTTACTTTGAACCTTTGTCAAAGTCAATTGGAACCCTTTTGTACAACTATTTAACGTGAAGAAAAGTAGATCAACTATCCCTAGAAACAATCCAGTTGGGCATATTGTTCAAGTTGATCTCTCCTCTTCCTCCTCTTCCTCCTCCTCTTCTGTTCTACTGAGCTATATGTCTAATCCTCTCCTAATACAGTTTTGATTACTATAGCTGTGTAATACATTTTCAAATCTGGTAGGTGGATTCTCCCTCATTTATTATCCTTCTTCAAAATTATGGAGCATTCCCATTTCCTAATTATGTAAGTTCTAGATTTTTTAGAAAATCTCTCTGGACTGCTAGCAGGAATTGCATTAGTCTGTATATCAACTTAGAGAGAGTTGACAGTTTTACTAGGTTGAGTCTTCCGATCCATGAATGCAATGTTGTTTCTATATTCTTTGAGTTCTTTTATCTGTTTGGGGGATTTTAATATCTAAGTCTTATATAGTTTGTTAGAATTAAACCTAAGTGTGTTATTTTCTGAGCAGGTATAAATGTACCGCTTCTTAAATTTTGGTTTCCAATCATTCACAGCTAGCTATGTAAATATGATTGTTGTGTGTGTGTGTGTGTATGTGTGTGCGTGTTGTGTGTGTTGATCTTGTGTGTGTCTTCCTGAACTCACTTGTGTGTTCTAAGAGAGTATTTTTATAGATTCTTGAGATTTTTCTCTTTAGACCATTGTGTCCTCTTCAAACGGGGACAGTTTTATTTCTTCCTTTGCTATCTCTGTACACCTTTCCTGTTCCGGTGTTTTGTATTTCTTTCCTGATGTATTGTACTGGCTGGAACCTGTTGGCTGTGAACAAGGAGCAGGGCTGAGGGTCCTTGTCCTGTTGTTGTCCTGGGGACAGGCATTTGGTTTTATCATCAAGTATAACATCAGCTTTACTATTTTGCAGGTGCACTTTAACACATTAAGAAGATTTCTTTCTATTTCTCCTTTTCAGGGGGAGTTTTTCACAAGTGGGTGTTGGATTTGTCAAAAGCTTTTTCTACACTAATTGGTGTAATTATGTAATTTTTCTTCTTTGTTAGTAGGGTGGATTACACCGTATGCATCTCTGGACCCCTTGGTCTTAGAGTGTAATTCTTTTTACAGCATAGAATTCTACAGCTAACACTTTGTAAAAGGTTTTATATCTGTGCTCATCAGGGATCTTGGACTGTAGTTGTCTTTTTTTTT